GTTATTGTTCTTTTAAGTGCCTCATATTTGTCCCCTACCTCCCTTCTCTGAATACTACTGCATTTTCAACCAGTACAACACAGTTAGTACGTGTTCTGTTTAATTCACACTTGTTTTGTGTGACCTCCAAGGGCAAAACCAAAATGAGTGGGTGGAAGTGGCAGGGAGGCAGACTTGGCTCCATATAAGGAAGAACTTTTAATACTTTGAGATGGCTTAATGGAATGGGCTGTCTCAGAAGTCTCAGGTTCTCCATCACTGAAGGTGTTTGATTTTTTTTTTTTTTTGCTTTTCTTACGGTACTGGGAATTGAACTCATGACCTTGCGCTTGCCAGGCAGGCGCTGTGCTGCTGAGCTAAATGCCCAGCCCCCACTGAAGGTGTTTGGGCAGAGGCTGCCTGACTAACTGCAGAGAATGCTGAAAGTGCTGGGTGTGGTGGCACATGCCTATAATCTCAGCACTCAGGAGTCAGAGTCAGGAGGATCGCCATGAGTTAGAGGATAGCCTGGGCTACATAGTGAGTTCAAGGCCAGCCTGAACAATAGAGCAGGACCCTGTCACAGACAAAAGGCTCAAAGGACTGTTCTTGCATCAGATAGTGTTTTTATAATACGATTTCTGGAATTGCTCATAATCCTGAGAAACAGTGATTCAATGAAGGTAGCTTTGTCACTCCTGCTTAAACTCCCTTAAAGGTAAGGAAACTATTTTATCTTTCTTTTATATTCCACACACTTAATGCAGGTGTTGGTCACTTGGTTGCCTAAATGAGATTATTTGTAAATTAATAGATTCTTTTTATTTAGTTTCAATATCTGATTAGACACCAAATATTTTCCTTGGCCACATCTTTTGCAGTAGCCTCCTTATTTTGCAGCTAGATGAACAACAAACAGCTTTTAGTCTAACCTTATAGACTCTAATTAATATTTTTACTTTTTCCCAAATCCCATTCTGTTTATTAGACAATACTTGTAAACACATTGCTTTGATCATTATTCCTTGAGCAGCTAGCTGCTGGTTGATTATTAAATTATTTTAAAGTCTTTTGTGTGGTGGAAATAAGCACATAGTGTCATGGAAGCACATACTGGAAGTGCTTCTTGGGGCAGTTGTATGTTAGCTGAGACTAAAGGACAGTAGGAATTCCAGTGAGGGACCCCATCATTGAGGGAAAGCAGCCATGCAGAGCTGATAGCATATAAAGGATCAGAAGTGAGAGAAAGCATGGCTCTTTCTGGGAAATGCATTTAAGTCCTGGGTATGGTAGTGTGCTGAGGAAAAGGTATCGCAAAAGATAAAACTAGAAAGTGATGGAAGCAAAGCAAGGCTAGAGTATGGAAACTCTTCTTTGGACTTTACCCTTAATGCTGTGGGGAATACCAAAGGCATAAGATAAAAAAATGTCTTAGTTGGCATTTGTATTTGAGATGGATCACTCTGGCTATAATATGGATGAAGAAAAGGTGTATTACTGAAATTAAGGGCAACTAGTTAGGAAATTATTGTAGTAATCAGAATAAAGGCAAGGGGCATCCGTTCATGAGATGTGAAAGAGCCTCTTGGTTTTGATAACTCATTAGATGTGGAGACTAAGAAAGCAGATAATTAATGTTGATGGAATCGTCCAGCACTGTGCCAAGAAATCTATGTGGATTTCTTTACTTATTCTGGACTCTGTACTTTGTTCCCAATATGTAGATAAGGAAACTAAAGCTCACAAAGTTTGATAACTGCTTATAGCCGCAGAGCCAGTGAGTGCTATTATTCAAAACCCACATTTATCTGATTTCTCTGAAGACAACTCTGATGAAACCTGTGATCAGGAAACTGTTAGGCAGTAGAGTAAAACTGAACAGAGTAGTCTTAAGTGGTGTTTTAGATATTTCAGTTTGAGGTCCCTTTAGGACATCTAGGTAAAGATGTTAGATGGAAGCTGGATGTCAGATTCTGAATCCCAGAAGAATGGCCTGAGCTGAATCTACTGCTTCAGGAGTCTTTAGTGTGGAGGTGGTTGTGGTGAGGTAGGTGTTAGACTGCAAAAATAGTAGTTGAAAGCTTTGGAATGGGTGCACATGACCACCTGAAGAGTGTGTGTGTGTGTGTGTGTGTGTGTGTGTGTGTGTGTGTGTGTGTGTAGGGAGTGAGAAAAGGCATATCTTTCAGTCTCTTCAGTTTTGGACATTCTTCACTACAACGTCAACCTCACCCTAACCCCACTAAAGATGAGGTGATATTCTTCTATATTTGGTTAGTGGTAGAATGAGATTAACTCCAAAGAGCAGCTGTATTATTGCTTTTCACTCTGTATGACTCAGGCAGCAGAAATACAGCTTGTTTAGTAGTGAAAGCTTGTAAGCAAGCAAAAATATGGGCAGGGGGACCCAAGTCCCCTGGAGCTATATTGTTAACCTTTTAAGATTGGTGAGTATTGACAGCCCTATGCATCTAGTACTGTGTCTCCATGTTAGTGCTGGTCTTAACCTGTAGTGTCTGTTGTGTCTGAAGAAACATATTAAAATAGAACTGAGTGCTTTTTATTTTTGGGAGGTAGTCAAGAAATTATTGAATTTCTTGCCTTTCCCCTTGGATTTATAAAGTGTGGATTATTTGTGAGTCTGTCTCTGGCCAGTACCCAAAATGGAACAGGGTAGCAGTTCAAGTATCAGCTGATAATGTCATAACATGAGAGAGAGTATATTTTGCTTCTAGTTCCATTTGCAAGTAGAGCATAGACCTGGAGTCTTGTCACTGGTCTAGGCCAGGAAATAGGATTGTTGATTGGTTCTCATGCTTATTTTTCCTTTTCTTTCATACTCTTGGAAACAACAATTTCTGGCAGGGACTGGGCCCAGAGATGCCACACCTGTACATACACACAAAAAAAGACAGGGATTATATTTGCTTGTGAGGGAGGACAGTGTGTTAAATTTGGGTATTCTGGTATGTTGCTATTTTGAGGCAAATCATAATTGCTTTGGTCATTTTAGGCAGCTTCAAGGAAGTTGAATTCATTTGGCTTTAGTTACCTAAACTAATTAATGCTTTGATGAAATGAAACCTAAGTCGAGGCTTTAGCTGAAATTTTACTGACAAATTTTCATAAGCTCACTTATAGTCTCAAATATTTTGTGTAGACATATATTGGTAGTATTTTACACTTACTTGTATGCATGTGTGTCCAACCTTTTGGATTGCCTGGGCCACACTGAGCGAAGAGGAATTGTCTTAGGGTGAATATAAATGAAGAAAACTTACATGTCTGCCTAATAACAGTAAATACCAGTCTTCACAGGCACACACATATATAGGTAGTTTCAGTACTACTATTGGTAGTCGCTATGTTTTACTTGTAACATCTGATGTACTGATCCGTTGAGTTCTTGTATCCTGGGAAGGAACGGTGGTGAGAATGAGGCAAAAATAGACAAGAGACAAAAAGCTGGGATCAGATGGAGGTCCTTTCTCTCCTGAGCAGAGAAGAGGAACTAATCAAGAACAGTACAGCATTTATTTGTACCCTCAAGAGGTTGATTAATTTCAGCCTTGGTGCCTAGCAATCAGTTAACAAGCTATCATGGTTTGCTTATGTGTTTTGAGGAGCTCCTGTGTTCTCAGGCTGGCTTCATCCTGCACATGTAATTACTTTGCAGCTTCAGCTGCTCCCAACAATCTGATACACAGGAGTTTCAATTCTACTGACTGGTGAGCACAGGAGATGAGTTAGCACTGTACTGTACCTAAGCACCACCATACAATTAAGACATGAAAAATATTGTTAAAAACTCATACTTTAAAAAAAATCAACCAGGGTGGTAGCGTACACCTGTAATCCCAAGCTCAGGAGGCTATGACAGGAGGATTGCTGTGAGTTCGAGGCCAGCCTGGGCTACATAGTGATTTCAAGCCAACCTGAACTGCATAGTGAGACCCTGCCTCAAAAAAAAAAAAAAAAATATTGGCAGTATTGTGGATCCAGGTTACTAGGTGTCCAGGACCTCTGGGCACACCTGGTATGGGCAACTTTCACAGCTGTTATTCCTCTAGAGTTTTGGAATATGATTTTAGGTTCATTAACTGTATAAATATTTGTTGAACATCTATTGCTTGCCAGGTAGTGGTCCTAATGATAGAGTATACCAACGAATAAGTTCAGTAAGGTCTTTTCTCCTTTTGTCTTTTGGAGCTGGCTTACTTTTTATTTTGTATATATTTAATGCCTGGGATTGAACCTAGAACCTTGCTCATCCTAGGCAAGTGCTCTTATCTCTGAGCTATATGCCTACCTTGGAGCATACTTTCCTTAAGATAGTGGACATTGAATGAGGCTCTTTCAGATAAGTTAGGACTGTACTTGTGAAAGATGTGTAACCAGCTCTTTGTGTTATGTCTGGTATCTTTTGCTACTGCATGTCCAAGTTCAACCCGTCCTCATTTGAAGCCAGGCTCAGATGGCAGCTTCTCCATGATATCCTTATCTGATCCTTCCAGCTCATATACTTTTCCCCTCTCTGAAATCCCATGCCACTCTATCTGCAACTGTATGTCACCTTAAATGCTTTTTCTGTTTGTTTTATAGGTGTTAGTACATCTCTTAAGTCTCCCCAGTTAGACAGTGAGTTATTGAGGGCAGGGTGATTATCCTGCTCACCTTGATTAGAGCATTCTACATGTAGGTCGCAGGGTGTTATGGAAAAACACACTCAATTTGGAGCCAGAAAAGTTGAGTACTGGCTTCTCTAATAACTAGCTGTGTGACTATAGGAAAATCATGTAATGTTGCTGGAACTCAATTTTCATTGAGTATTATCTTTCCATTTCTATAGTTTGGAGGAGATTTAACCTGATAAGGGCTGTATGATTTTGCAAATTTGTTAGACTACTTTTACATCTTATTTTATAATTAAATTATTGTGTCCCACGGAATTGACATCCTCTTCACTACCATGTAGGTGCTATGTAACATTAAAATAACAAGGGATATTTGATTTGTTTCAGAAGGTGGTTCGTCATGGCTGACATGCAAAATCTGGTGGAAAGATTGGAGAGGGCAGTGGGCCGCCTGGAGGCAGCGTCCCGGCCCTCTGATACGGGTCGGGGGCACGGGGATGGAGTCGATCCTTCACAGGGTGAGCAGCCCACAGCCCAGCATGTAGCGTTTGTGTCATGTCTCAGCCCTCATCTCTATATTATAGTTGATTTTCTCCTTTGGAGCTGACTTCCTCAAACATTTAGTCTAAGCAGTCCTTCTCCTGTCAATTCTTATTGCTATGAACAGATAAGGGAGGAAGTGACTTGTGCAGGGAGGCCTGTGGTTGAGTTATTTTAACACAAGAGCTTCCTGCTTGTGCGATATTTCCTGTTCTTTCTTTAGCAGAATGACTCCAGTTGAAGTCAAATGACAAGTGATACTAAAATTGCCTGTCTGCAAATGATGGCAAATCTGCCATTTTGCCCAAGGGTTGGTTGAAATACAGAATGTTAGAACTAAAAGGAACCTTAGAGAATCACTTTATTTTCATTTTGTAGTAGTGAAGATAAGCTCAGAGAGGAAAAGGCTTACTATACTCAGTTAATACTGGTGGTATTAGAACTAGAGCCTGGGTTTCCTAACTCCTGTTCCTTTATTTTGTGTGCTGTATTATCTTGTCCTCCCATTTTCACATGGCAGTACACTTAAAAAAAAATCCTTCTAGTGAGTAGCAGTGGTGCACACCTATAATCTCTGCACTTTGGGAGGGTGAGGCTGGAGGATTGCAAGTTCAAGTCCTGCCTGGGCAACTTAGCAAGACCCTGTTAAATGAAAGGGCTGGGGATGTAGCTCAAAAGTTCTGGCTGGGTTTGATCCCCAGTACTGCAATATAAAAAAAAAAAGGGTGGTGGTGGTGGGGAAACGAAATACGGTTCTGATGTGAGTGACTGATTCTTCTGGATATGTCTTTCTTCACCAGGAGTAGCTCCATATGTGGAAGCATTTGACTCACTGCTTGTAGGTCCTGTGGCAGAGTACTTGAAGATCAGTAAAGAGATCGGGGGAGATGTACAGAAACATGTAAGGATGTTGTGCCTTTTTTCCTCTTTTAAACGCTTACGGCTTTCTGTGGATCCCACTCATTGTTGGTCTGAAAGCTCCTTTGGTAAGCAAGGTGTGGTAGCACATACGTGTAATGGCCAGAACTCAGAAGGCAGAAGCGGGAGGATCATTATGAGTTCAAGGCCAGCCTGAACTATACAGCAAGACTCTGTCTCAAGGAGTCTTGGGGTTTTATTGGTAGGCCCTTGACTCTTCTCTTCTACCTATGTTGAAAAGCTCAGTCCAAGCACAGGAATGAGTCTTTATTTTTTTTTTTTTTAGGCCCCTTTTTATTAAATATTCTGTATGCGTTTAGGAAAACTTGCTTGGTGCATCAGATACTGTATGGCTGTGTTATCTTTATGGTGAAGAATATACCACTTGTCTGATCCCAGCGTGTTATATAACAAAGCCTAGGGTGGCTTATTCAGAAGAGTCATTATCATGATTTGGCATTTATAAAACTGCTTGACAGTTATTAGTTATGCTAAAATGGGTTATTTTCACACTTAGCCCAGTGCAAGAATATGAAGTATGGCATTACAAGTTCCTCTTCACCCATTTCCTTTAATGTAGTGCCTCCTACATTGTCACCACTACTATCCCTACATAGTGATGTGTGCATTCTACCCTTCTCTTTAGGACCCAGAACTTTCCTATTAGTACACTGAATGATTCTTTTAAAATATAACCATGTTTAGGGTCTGCTTCACTTAAACCCTGAGCCTCTCCTATGCTAGCCATTGGCTGGCCAATCTTACCTCTAAGGAGTGGGATGGGACTTTGACAAGGGCATGGGGACTTGCATTTTTACTTTATACAGTTCTGTAATCTTTGATAAAATTTTTATACATGTATCACATTTATTTTTGAAAAATGCAAATACAGATAAACGATTGTCTTTCTTTGAATTTCTGTATTTTAATAGTACTTGTAGCCTCATGTTTCTTAAACTGTTGTCCTTGACCCTCAGTACGAAATGACATATTTGTAACTAAGATAAAAGTTTCATGAAACGGTACTTCTCCTACTTATAGAGTACTCTTATGTTTTTGCTTTTTTTTTTCTTTTTAACTTTTGGGGGATGCCAGGAATGGTGGCGCATGCCTGTAATCCCAGTACTCAGGAGGCTGAGGTGGGAGAATCATTGTGAGTTGGAGAACAGCCTGGGCTACAAAGTGAGCTCAAGACCAGTCTGAATTGCATAGCGAGACCCTGTCTCAAAAAGAAAAAAAAAAGTATAAACTTTTAGGGGAGGGCATTTGAGACATGATCTTGGTGTAGCCCAGGCTGGCCTTGAGCTTGCTGTCTAATGCAGACTGGCTTTAAACTCCTAATCCTCCAGCCTCAGCCCCGAGTGCTAGGATTACAAGTGTGTGCTACCACACCTGGCTTTTTTCTCACTTTTTATTGGAAGTAATTTTAAGCTGGTGCACTGCATTCATACTTTTATTTTATTCTTTTTCTCAATAAAGTTCTGGTTATGGCTCATCAAATTTATTTAATTACGTACATGATCCAGCATTTGAGAAATAGCTTTAACCTAAATAAGTAAATACTTCGAGAATTTTAGACATAAGTTTAGGCCTTTGCCTTTACTCATACCTCCAGTTTTTGAAGAAAGTGTTTTTTTGTTTGTTTGTTTTTTTGTGATATAAGGTAGGAAGGATCTTTCAGTGCATGTTGGAAATAGTGCATGTAGAAATTGCCAACCCAACTTCACTTGAGGCTACCCCTGATTATCTTCATTTCCAACTCTGGCTACATATTCCTGATTAGTTTCAATAGGAACAGTGGAATATGTGCTTGTAGTATCAGTCCCTGGAAATCTGGAATACATGAGGAAAACAACATGAAGGGCCTGGATACTACCAGAGTACATGGAGATGGAGGTTTCAGGTTATTCTTATCAGGACCTCTCCAGTTGTAATGTGTCATCGATAGCAGATTCTTCTCTCCCACAGGCAGAGATGGTCCACACAGGTCTGAAGTTGGAGCGAGCTCTCCTGGTTACAGCTTCTCAGTGCCAGCAGCCAGCCGGTGTAAGTTCACTACTAGTTGGGTTTAGTTTTTGCTTGATGCAACTCAAGAGTCAAGCCTTCCTTACTCTTAATATAAAATTTCATGCTGTTAAGATGGAAAAAATTGAATTAGAGAAAATTAGATTTTCTGAAAATAAAAGATTTGCCAAGTGGTGGTGCCCGTAATCCCAGCACTTGGGAGGCTGAGGCAGGAGGATCGCCACGAGTTCAAGATCAACCTGGGCTACATAGTGAGACCTTGCCTCAAAAAACAGAACAGAAAATCAAAATAAAAATTTTAGCTTCTTTTCTATTTGACTTTAGTAGGCATAGTGGAGTAGTAAGCAGCCTTTCTGCTAATACTGTATTGAAAACTCTCGCTCCTTGGCTTGCCAAAATAATGTAAAAATAATGCAAGATAATTTATATTGAAATTTAGTCTTCTAATCTATCCTGAATGGTTAAAGTATTTTATCTAAATCTTTTCTCGTCTCACATTTTCTACAATAAAGCAAGCATCAGAGACACTGTTATATTTTTCTTGCTTTAGACCAAGCCTTGACAAACCTCAGCCTGCAGGCCAGATTTTGTTGTTGTTGTTCTGGGAATTGAACTCAGGACCTTGCACTTGCTAGTAAGGTGCTTGTTCTGCTGAGCTATATCCCTGGTCCCCAGCAGGCCAAATATGACCTGCCACCTATTTTAGTAGATGAAGGGATTTTTTGAGTTTTTTTGTTTGTTTGTGGCAGTTGTTTATACTTTCTGGTCCTATAGGGAAAAACTTTGCAGACTCCTAGACTGTTTTCATGCTAAGATCTGAAAATTGAGATGTGCAGGAAAGTAAGCTTTGGAGGAAAGATAAACATTAGATTCATCTATTTTGCTGAGCTGCCAACTGGAAGGCCAGGCCTTGTAATTACATTTGCTTCATCAGATCTCTGCTCAGCAGCTGTTATATGGCTAGCAATGCACTAAGGGCTATGATGATGACAGAAGAGAACTAAGACAAAGCCCTTGCCTTTGCAGAATTAATGAAAAAGGAAAGCATATTCACATGGGTTCATTAATAGTCTGTGCTGCTGTGTGGTAAGGCACCAGAACTGGTTGACAGTAGATGTTGTAGGAAGCTGCTATGGCTGGAGTTGGGGGATGTTGTTCCTCATCCAGGCCCTTAAGCATCTGGATAGATGGATAAAGACAAAACCATCATAAATAAAGGTATAAACTAGTATCCTGTAGTGGGACAGAAAAGAGACAAGTGGCTGACATGATAGGATTTTGTGGTATAACTAGAATATGGGTCCTGAGTATGAAGAATCACAAAATCCCACCTGAAGAGTTGAAGCTCCATGCAGAGGTGAGAGGATGAGCACTAATTTAGCTATATGAATCAGGGAAAGGTGAGTACAAATAATACTTTAGACCACAAAGAATTCTTGTCTTCAGGATCATAGTTGACCAACATAGACAACTTTTATGAAAAGTCTAACCCAAATCTTTTTCTGTCTCTTCCTAGAATAAACTTTCTGATTTGTTGGCACCCATCTCAGAGCAGATCCAAGAAGTGATAACCTTTCGGGAGAAGAACCGCGGCAGCAAGTTGTTCAATCACCTGTCAGCTGTCAGTGAAAGCATCCAGGCCCTGGGTTGGGTGGCAATGGTGAGCAGCACAGCTTTCAAGGGAGGAGATGATAGCCTGACTGACAGAGGGATGGAAATGGAGTTGGATAGGCTAAATCATGAATTACGTCTTTCTCTCAGGCTCCCAAACCTGGCCCCTATGTGAAAGAAATGAATGATGCGGCCATGTTTTATACAAACAGAGTCCTCAAGGAGTACAAAGATGTGTACGTATATCCTTTCCTAGCTAATTTTTCTTGGAGTAGCTCTTTGGAGTTTTGGGCTTCTATGTTGGTTCTCTGATCTCAGGACTACTTTTTGGAAAGCTTGTTAAGATATTGGCTCACAGAAGCTGCACTTGCAAACAGGAAATATTTCTGCTTCCACTTCTCCTTTTCCTTCTGTGGTTGGTAGAGGCCCTTTTAGTTTTCTAATCCTTACCCTTCCTGGCTAGAAGGTTTGAGGGGAGGTACTGTGAACTAATGCCGGTTTATACAAGATTTTGTTCCTCTGTTGAGAGTTTCTCACTGGAGACATGGCAAAAAGTTCAGTAGAACTGACTAGAAAATTACCCCAATGGTTCATGCATTCAGATAAATTGAAAGGAAGGCTGCCTAGTCACTGTAGGGATTAGGGGAGTCATTGTATGTCTAACCACAAAGACATACCAGTGCTAACTGACTTCTCCACTGCTGATTTTGAGGTGGAGTAACTGCAGGCAGTAATCACTTGTATAGCCATGGAGCCTCCTCCCTTCCATCAATACTGGTCAACCAACATTGGTTAAGTAACTCCTCTGTGCAAGGAAATAATTAGCCTTCAGACAGGCACAGTAGCACATACCTGTAATACAGGATTTGGGAGGCTGAGACAGGGGAATTGTTGTGACTTTGAGGCCAGCTTGGGCTACACAGTAAGTTCAAGGCCAGCCTGTACTACATAGTGAGACCCTGTTTCAAAAAACTAAATGTGTGATATGTGTCCCAGAACACCAGGTACTTCTCTGATGCTTCTAGCAACCTCGAACTAAGCACTAAAATATTTTAAAGTTATCCCATCATTTTACATTTGAAGAAACTAGGTCTCATGCTAGGTTACCTTAAATTATCTGGCTAATACATACAGCACTTGAACCATAATGCAGTGCCATTTGTATAATTTAATGTTGATTATTTCCTCCTAAAGGAAAGTTTTTAATTGGGAGGGGCACACATTTTGACATAAGACACTGTTTCATAAGGCAGCTGTGTTTCTTGGAGTCCTTGACTTCCACAGTGCTGTGAAGGGCTCTCAGCTCTGTTGTGACTTCATGCACAAAATGCCTGCTTTTCAACAAAACAATCGTGCTCCTAAGAAAAAGCTTAACCCAGGCAAGGTGGCACACACCTATAAGCCCAGTACTCTGAGAGACAATCACAAGTTCAATTCCTAGAGCCTATGTGACATAACAACTGAGTGAAACCCTGTCTCAAAAAAAGACTGGGGGAGCCGGGTATGGTGGTGCATGTGTGTAATCTCAGCACTCAGGAAAGTGATGCATGAGGATTGCCACAAGTTCAAGGCCAGCCTGGGTTGCATAGTGAGGTCAAGACCAGCCTAAACTATTTGGTGAGACCCTGTCTCAAAACAAAACAAGGGGTGGGGTTGCTGGGTGCAAAGGCCCTGGGATCACCAGTGCCATTTAAACAAACAAAAAAATAGCTTGAGGAGCACTGCTATAAGAGGAGAAAGGAAGTTTTATCCAATGTCCCTCTCATGATGGAGTTTGTTCTAGTTAAGGTAATAGAATAGGGTTTTTTTGTTTTAACCTCAATGATAAAAAAGCTGCCACTGAATAGAGCCTAAGAAATGCTACAGGCAGGAGGATTTGGGTCTATAGTAGGAAGGGTTCTAGTATCACTGTTGTAATGTACCCTGACTCCCTGTAACGCAGTTTCATTTTCCTAGGGATAAGAAGCATGTGGACTGGGTGAAAGCTTACCTGAGTATATGGACAGAACTGCAGGTTTATATCAAGGAGTTCCACACCACCGGCCTGGCCTGGAGCAAAACGGTTAGTGAATGCTACCTGCCTGCCTTCCTCTTCTTGTCTCTCCAGAATGGGTTCTACAGGTTTCTTAGACTTTGGAACCATCAAGGTCTGAGAAGAAACGCTAGATTTTTCCAGTTGGGGGTAGAAAGGATAGGGAAAAAGAAGGGAGTAAAGGAGGCAAGGGTCAGAGAAGCGGGAATACTGAATCCCATTCACTTTTAACAAACATGGCTCAGGGACAGTGATTGGTGCTGGAGGAGAGTAACAGATGAATGAGTCACAGTGAGGAGGGAAGGCAGGCACAGCTTAAAAAAGTAAAGGTAGAGATTGGTCGGTCATCTCTGACTCCACTAAGAGGAGATGGTTGGAGATTTTTTTAGGAGAAAAGGCTGGAAGGAAAGGAGGCTGAGACTTTTGGACTCAGTATTTGACTAAGGGAATAATAACAATCAGATTTGCTTCAGTGTATAGGTCAGGGCTAGGGTAAGGGCTCATGCTCAGACCATGACAGCGGTTGTAGTGCTAGAGGCTAGTAGAAAGCATTTGTGGAGCGCTCAGCAAGGTAGTGGACTTAATGAAGTCAGAGGAGTTAGAGACCTCAAAAGAGATTGAATAGTCAATCTTGAATGGTAATGTCTTTCACTGAAATAGGGACAGGTGTGGCCATACAGGTAGAGGAGCAGGCAGAACATGATGAAACTAGTTTTGAACTTGTTGAATATGAGGTACTGGTAACTTAAGGAAAGTTAAGGAAAATGACAGGTGGATTTTTTGAAATACAGGTTTAGAGCTGGAGTGGGGACAAAGGAAAAATGTGAAGACTGAGAGAAAAGAGTTGGATCTCTGGGATTGGGTGAGAAGAAATAAAGCCAAGTTGCATATGGGTAGGGAACATATGCACAGACAGACATTGGACAGAGACAGTGATACAGAGAGGACTGTTGTGTATGCTGGACATACGTAGGACCCTACCAGGAATGGTATAGATCAGTGATGGCAAACCTCTTACAGCTTTCAATGATACAAACAGCCTGCTGCGGCATGCGTGCCTTCGGTTCACCACCACTGGTATAGAGGGTAAGAGAGAGGATGACTGTATTGGCTACACTTACTGTTCCAGGGGCCAGTGGCAAAAGAACTGAGTGGACTGCCGTCTGGGCCCTCTGCTGGATCAGGTCCTCCTCCCCCTCCACCAGGCCCACCTCCCCCGCCAGTCGCTACCAGTTCAGGCTCTGATGACTCTGCTTCCCGCTCAGCACTGTTTGCTCAGATCAATCAGGGGGAGAGCATCACGCATGGTGAGTACTTCGGCATGAACAGTTGTTAAGGCATGTTGTTTGGGCTATACCTGCTCAACCAGACACAGCAGCTAGCATATAACCAGAATCCTGGCTTGTATGCGGCAGGGTTCATTTCGGGTTTCACTTTACTTCAGGTTGCCAAAGGAGTAGATGAAATTGAAAATAGGGGCTGGGGATTTAGCTCTGTGGCTTAAGCGCCTGTCTGGCAAGCGCAAGGTCCTGAGTTCGATTCCTGGTACCAAAAAAAAAACCCTGAAAACAGAAAATGGGCACAGTTGGTAGAAGCCCTCTCTTCCATGGGAAGGGGACTTACTCAGTGGCATGTTACATAGAGTGCCTTCTTACGCCCAAGCACCAGTGCTGGTAGTTTTCCCAAGAGCTGTCTCCATGGAGCCACATGGTATCTCTGGGAAATCACTGTGTGAGGAGGCAGACTTCCTCCGAGGAGGCATATCAGTCATATGGGAAATTTGCATAAGGATGATCTAATGTTACTATAGGCAACCTTAAGGTGGAGGAAATCTAAATTGTACAGCCCTCTTCTAGGAATCTACCCAGTTTTCTCTAGTATTGGGGATTGAACCTGGGCCTCTCTATTGAGCTATGTCACCAGCATTTTTTTTTTTTTCTTTATTGAGATAGGGTCTTCCTAAGTGACTGAGTTACCCAGGCTTGGCTGGAACTGTGGCCCTCCTGTCTCAGCCCCCAGAGTGCTGGGGTTATAGGCATGCATCAGTGCCCACCCCACACAAAGTTTTAGAATTGTTACAGTAGATTAAAAATTGGTGTAATAACCAAAATACCCAACAGTGAAGGAAATGACTAGTGAACTATTGTATATTCTTTTGATGGAATATTGTGCAACCATTATATTTTTTCTATGAAGAACTATAATGTTCAAGGAAAAAAATCTAGTATATAAGTGGCATCCACTTCAGCAACAACAAGGCTAGCAGTAGATACAGATGAGTTGAGGAAGTTAGATCTCATTGTCCTCACCAGCAGCTACCAGCCCCTCCATAAATGGTCACATCCCCATGCCCTCTCCACCCCCAGGAAAAAATAAACTACAACCACAAGTGGTCATGGAGCTAAAAAGTTCATTCAGTATGGTTATAGTCGACACAGATCAGCCCATATTGAAGCAATGTGTGGCTCAGTCTGCTAAAGGAGATTATGGAACGTTCCCTTAAAAGACATAACCAAGAAAGATATTTAGAAACTATAGGATAACATCAGAAAATTTGTATTAAGAATTGGTTAGACCAAATTTATTAAGTACATATAGTTACCAGATAAAAATGAGTGGGAAAAATTATTAGAGTTTTTCAAATGCCAACACTGAGGTTGGAGAGGAGGACTAGCTGTGGGTGAGCTTTTTTTTAACCAAATTTTTTTTACTATCATATTCTTTCTATGTTGCTCTAAAAACTACATACATACTTTAAGAGTATATACTCTATTTGGTACATATCTTTATAGATTTTTTTTTTTTTT